CTGCTGACAGTTGGAGGTGGTGATATTCCTGAAGGATTTAATTGTCCAGATGGAAGGTTTTAGTGTGAACTTCCTCCAAACAAAGAAACTTCCTGACAGTGATGAAGTGAGACGCCACTCCTGTCTCACCTCATTTCACTGGCATTACGGACACAGCAGAGAGAGGGTGAAGAAGCCGGAGTCACTGACACGGTGAAACCGGGAAATGCGTCTTTGATATAAAATAAGAAAATAAATTGGATCGCTCAACCGACTGGACGATGAAAAAACAAATAGAAAAGCAGATCCTGCATGGATGGAGGCAAAAAAGATGAGCAATTGATCTGTCTTCAGGCTCTGATTTGCACTTTGCAGAGGTATTGAGAGCCAAGTAACCATGGAAACGGGATAATCTAGCAGTGAAGAGAGGGAGAAGGCAAGCTCCAGCGCCTTTATGGTTTTCACAGCGCAATAAAATCCCAAACTAAGACCCAGAATAGGTGCTGTGATGACAGTCCTCTGTGTAGCAATAAAATGGAACAACATCAGGGGAAAAAAGGACATTTCAAGACAAATTTATACGAGTGCTATGATCTAAAAATTCTCTGAAAACAGGGATGGAAAAAGGAGGATCAGGATTTGGACATGAAATTTGCTTGTGAAACTCCAGCATAGATAAAAGCAGCAACTGCAGGGTTTTTAGGTCATTTAATATCTGATATTGTTGTCCCTTCATCAGTCTGGGGGGGAGGCCATCTGACTGCATGCAGGAAAGTTCAGCCGAGAATAAACTAGAATTGGAAAATTGCCATTAACATGCTGCAAGATGAATAAAATCGGACCTAAAGGCAAATAAAGTTGGAACGTTGATCAACTTTTTTTGTATTTTCCAGTTTGTAAGAGCCTCTTCTTTTGTATTGACAGCAGATTTGCTGGTTTCCTGCTGTTTCTAAGTGGGGCCCTCTGGTTGGATTTTGAAAAGTTGAATTTGGAGATAAGAGACAGTCGGCAGGATGGGAAGCTTTTCATAAACTCTTCATTTGTTAAGTAACATTATGCAAGCTGAAACACAACAAAACTCTTTAAAGAATCAGCAGCTTCATACACAAAAATATAATGGATTTCTTGAGAAGGATTATATCCTTTATTACTGTTAAAACTGTGTAACAGAAAACAATTAATATATATTAAATTGCCTTGAAACTGTTCATAACCTAGCTCATAAATTAGCATTTTAATGTTTATCTCTCATAGAATCCATCCAAACCAAAGGAGAACAATCTACCATGAATAATTATCAAGTTTGTTTAAATTTACTGATGTGTTACATCAATCTATTGGTCATATGATGAACCAAGCTCTGGGAATGTCAACTGTAGAAACTGTTAAAATTTATTTTGCAATTAAAGTTGAAAAACATAATAATCATGAGCACAACGTAAGGTTCTTTTCCCCCATTTTCAAATATATTATCTTTATTTACTCTTACAAGGTGATAAACAGTGTTTCCAAATGTTAAGTTTATTCAGTGATGATTATAAAATTAATGTGTGCTTATAAAACATTTGTGCAAGGGGATGCTTCACTCCTGTGTCATGATTCAGTCAGGAGACCATCCTGCCTTGTTATTCTGATGGAGCATTCTGTCTTCATGAACTGATCAATTGTTCTGTCAGAACAATACTCTGTTTGTAACCATGCGTCATGTTCTGTTAATAAACACTCTGCAGAGGAGGTCCAGTGGGAGACAGTGTGTTTGAGTCTGGGGTTCAACTGTCTCTCCTTCCTGCAGGAATCGTATCCATAATTGTGTATTTCAGTTCTTCTTTTGCAAAAACCTACATTTTATGAACCCGACACCAAACCAAATAATAGTCAAGCTAAATCATTTCAGTTTGAAGTTTAAATAAAGCTGTATAATATCAAATAAATAATTCAGAATAAAATATCTGCTCCTTGACTATTTTCCAGTTTTATGAGTAAGTACACGAAACACAAACATAATAAAACTGCAAAATGCACCAACAAAAAGTAAATAAAACATAAAATTCACCTGGATTTATGTGGATCATCTAAAATAATCTGCATTCCACCTAAAGTTGTTCTTGTTTCTATGTGAAGTGCAGTTCATTTATATTAAATAGAAATATTCCCCACCAGCATCAGACGGGTGAATGTTGAAAAAACTCTAAATCATGTCAGACTCTGCATCAAACTGACTATATCAATGTGCTTTTTTTGCACCATGTTTTTTCACCCAGTGTTTACATTAGATCAATTTGAGAGCTGTACAAAACGAAATTTCATTTTGTATACAAAATGACAATAAATGTTGTCTAAGTCTAAACCAAAGGAAATTTATTCTGTTTTGTGGACATGAACAGTTATCTTAAGGCCAAAGGTCATGATCCATTACAGCAGAAGGAATGTGAAATTTTTGCCATGACACCCTACCAACTCCTCCTCCTTCTGACTGAGGCTCCTTAGACTGAACTTAAACATTTAGGATTTACTTTGATTTATAGTAACATCAGCAATATCTATGGATTTAATATTGATTTATCTTGTTGTTTATTTCCAGGTAGGGAACTCTGCTACTAACAATTCAAAAGCTACAGAACTACAGAGAATCAACTCTAAAATCATGATATCAGAAAGTTTAAACTCCTTTAACTGGTGGGACATGAAAGAAAAAAATCAAATTATCTGGTGTCAAAAAGATGAAGACAATGTTTGCAAAGCTAAATGACTTTTATAATCATCTATTCTCAACTGTCTCTAATGATTAATTATGGAAAGACAACAGGTCCCAGCCGACAAGATAAGAAGTCATTTTAAATAGTAATGGGATTTCGCTGTTTGATCTGTTCTTACCAGCCATGGTGGAGATCCCCAGAGTGACTCCGATGGAGAGTTCAATCTGTGTTCCCTGTAAAACCAAAAGGAATCAGGTCAAATATTCTTCCTGACTCGCTGTTATCGTGAGTAAACATGATAAAACATACATGGGAGACGTTTTTACTCCTGAAGGCATCTGATTTAACTTTACTTACTGCTGCAATCATGATGGCATTATCCAGGAAACCAAATCCAATAAAGGGGACGGCGTTGTGGAATAAAACTGAAGCAAAAATAAATGGGGAAAAAGAACAAACAATATTAATAATTACAACATAAAAAATGTGATTTTAACTCCAAAAACCCTAATTACAACCATCTCTAAAAAAAAAAAAAAAAAAAAGAAGTTCGGAGGTCAGGTTTTTGAGCTAATATTTCCAAATCATGCTTCCTTTGATCCTCAGGTTCAGGTCTGTTCCTGAAAAATTGGACAAGCAGTGAAAGGAAGTTGGCTGCTGCTACAAACTCCGACTTTTGCATGGAAATGGGACCATGTGAGTCAATTAGTCTTTTAAGACGTCAGAATTTGTCAAATGTTATAAAACTCTAAAGGCCTAAAAAAAAGTTTGGAACCTAAAATCAAATCAAGGCTAAAGAAATTCAATTTAATTCTAAATTGAAGAAATTTACATCATGGAAATTTACATGGAACTGAGACATTCACAACCTGTCGAACTGAAACAGTACAAAAAAAACATCAAACTTTTTTATTTAAAGACAAAATGGATCATTTATTGCCTGGTGTACGGACTAATAAAAGCCTGACCCCGATCAAGAAATTAGAGATTTAAAAAAATGCAAATATTTAAGAGTTATTTCTTAACAATCTGATCTCTGGAAAAATCCAATCTGGACCAGTAAAAGTAATTAAGAACCAGGCGTTTAGCTAGCAATGCATACAGGCGTACATTGTATGCCCTTTACTAAAAATAATAGTAAGGGAGGTATGGGACCATGTGAGTCAATTAACCTGTTAAGTGGTCAGAATTTTCCAAATGTTATAAAACTCTAAAGGCCTAAAAAAAAGTCTGGAACCTAAAATCAAATCTTTGGAAAATAAAGGCTAAAGAAATTCAATTTAATTCTCAATTGAAAAAAATGTACATCATCTTTTTCCCCCTTATCAACAGACATTTATATCAGAGATGCTGTAAATAATAGAAATAGATCAGCATTAAAACCTTCAGATATATAAGCCGAGTACATATAGGTAACATCTGTGAAAACGTTCCAGCTCTATGTGGACAGTTTATCATATTATCTGCTTGATCTGAATCCAGCAGGTTCTGCTACTACAAGCAACATTCAGCACTTCGACACCAATGCAAACATCCCTTCACCATTAGTTATATGAATGTTATTACTTTTTTTTTCTGGAGTCAGTCTCTTTCACACTAGTAATGTATTCACCAAGAAAATAAATCTGCCTCTTTTTTTTCCCCCTTATTATGTCTTTATTTTATTTTCCGCTGCTGTAAAAAGGTTTTTACTGTGTAATTTAGTGAACACATTTCAGTACTCTCGCGTGTTCTTTGGTAGTATTCTCACAGTAGTTTACTTTAAGATGATGCTAAACGATTCGTCTGATTTCTTTGAATGCACATTCACTCATATAATTAAGTGCAGTGAAATAAATCGTACATGAATGTAAATATAAAATCTTTTAAATCAAGGTCATTTTATTCTTATTCAGAGGTAAAAAAAAAAAAATTATTAATGCTAAGATATCTATAATTACATGTTATTCAGCTTCCCTTTGCTGGAAGAGCACAGTAAACAGTTATTAGTTTATGAAACTAACAGGCAATAAAAAAATCATTCATGGTGAACTGTGGAGATCAAAGAAACACCAGTGAATGAATGTCAATCTGGACTGTTTTTGTTAGATACCAACACTTAACTGCCTCAGTGTGTGTGTGTGTGTGTGTGTGTGTGTGTGTGCAGCACATTTTATCTCTCACCATATCTGATCTGGGCTCCAGTCGGCGCTGATGGCTCCAGAGTCTCTGAGGAGAAGAAAGGGAAACATCAAAACATCAGAAGTTCTCTTATTAACCACCGGGGTCGGAGTTTGCAGCAACACAGACAGTTTGCACATCACGGTCCACTTTTGTTTGGCATTTTCCATCCTCTGACGATGCTTCGCTCTGACTTCTGGCAAAACGTCTCAGCAGAACTTGCTGCTTCTGTGTCTATTAGAGTCACTATAAAGCTGAGAAAGGAGCTTTTAGGAGGTTTGGCTTCGGATCAGGAGTTAGCTAAATTTGATCTAAAAATAACACATGGTCTCCATGGTGATGTGGCTTAAAAAATTAAAATTAAACCCTAATAGTACTATTTATTTGTTCACTTAAACAAAAATAAAGCATTTGGTGGCATTAAAACAGAGAACAGAGAGATGGTTAAAAGGTTCATGGAGCAGAAAAAAAGCTAGTATGGATAAGAGATAACATGGCTACATCTTTCGCTAATGGGTTTGTTACTTTTGACAAAAGCATTTAGAGATAAGCATGAAAGAAATCAAAATATTTTTCATATATTTTTATTAGGGATGCACGATATTGGGATTTTGGCCGATATCCGATATGCCGATATTTTAAAACTCATGTAGCCGATAACCGATATCGATACTGATGTTAAAGCTGGACAAAAATAAGTAGTCATTGAAAATAGCAGTTTTGTTATCCATTTCTGACACTTTGAAAAATAATATACTCAAATATATTTTCATATGCTGATATAGAATTGATTTTTAAAAACGCGGTATCGATCTATTTTACTTTCAAAATCTCATCTCATTTCATTGTTCTGTTACAAACT